GTGTGTGTGTGTGTGTGTGTGTGTGTGTGTGTGTGTGTGTGTGTGTGCGTGCGTGCGTGCATGTGTGTGTGTGTGTGTGTGTGTGTAAGTCAGTCAATATGTATATATTTTATATAAAGTTTATTTTTATACTTTATATTTTTGCCATTTTATTGTGTAACTGGGACCTTGAGTACATAATTTTATTCCACCTCATGTACCACGTGTGATGCGAATGACAAACTTGATTTGAACTTGATTTTACAATATTAGCGTATATCTTAGATCCTTGTATACAGTTTCTTTTTATACTTTAAATTCTTTCTTTGCTATTTTTGGGTGTAACTGGGACTTTCAGTACACAATTTCATTCCACCTAATGTACCACGTGATGTGAATGACAAAAGAACCTTGAACCTTGAAGTGGAATGGATTTGTTCAAAGAAATAGAAACAGCACTGGGTGAACTAATATTCCATGTGTGTGTGTGTGGGGGGGGGGGGGGGGGGTGAATATTTTTTTAATGTGAGGGGGACTTGTCCCCTTCACATATTCACGTGACACCCATGTTGGTTTGACATCTACAACTGATTCACATTTGAACTCAACACAATTCAAGCTGGCCGACACTAATCTTTAGCAACTCAAAAATAGCTCAAACTCAGTTTTAAACGTGTTAAAATTAGGTGTGGTAGTAGCTGAGAGTCATTGCAACAGATTCTTTGAGACTATGTAATATTGCATTAAAAAGAAAAAAAAAAGGCTCATCTCCTTGTACTGGTTCAAAAATGAAACCAAAGCGTTAGCATCAATGCCACTAATCCCCCGTGTCGTCCTCCACCTGACATGTTCTCGCTGCGTGTGTACGCTCTTACATTAACTAGATCTGTCACAACAGCGCACATTAAAGCCCTGCACGCTAAAAGCTTGCAGACGTGTCTCAGCAGGAAGATTTCCCTTCCAATTCCACAATGCACTTATCACATGTGTCATTTTTGTCAGCAACAAGACAAAGGCAGATTTTAAAATCTACAATATTAGCCCTGGCTAAGGGCTCTCCATACGCAGAACGTCAGTGTTGAAAGCAATGACTGACAAAACACTTTTGATTAAACATTAAAAATTAGCCCCGTTCAGAAATTACCACCAACTCAAAAAGCAAAAGAAAACACAGTCAAGCATTTAACCTCATTTTGTGATTCCTAAAATAAAAACAGACAAATTACTGTAGAGTTCAAATACACAGGAAAAATGTGGAACCTTCCAGTTAACAACAGCAGAACACTCCAGACTTATCTTTATTTGTTTTATTGCTTCAACTTGGACATGAACATATTCTGCATTCACCGTTTGGTTGTGTCATTACTGCGTTTTGACTTACAAATAACTGCAAATTATTATCAGAGAGTATGCATTTAATTTAATTACATAATAAGCAACAAATACTTCAGTTCTCTCTAGTGCTTTGTTTTGTTTTTCAGCCAAAATATAAAATCAAATAAAAAGTCTATCATTTTTTTAACTTCTCCCTTAACCACAGGATGGAAATTAAATTTTGTAATTATTAGTCCGAACCAACAAAATGTGAATAAACATTATTGTTGTTAAAAGCTTGAAGCCAGAGCCCACAGTGAAGCTCTGGGTTTATGAATGAACATTTATGACACAGGCTCTACAAGTGAAACTGGTTTAAACAGTCCGTCTGATCATCCAGAGTTTATAATCCAGAGCAGTTTAGTTCAGCACTGGATTCATGACGACTGCCAATCATCCATCAGTTAATAGTCATGACTGAGATGCAGACAAAGACAGGGCTGAGCAAAATAAAGTTCCCCAGAAAGTAAAAGAACAAACAAAACTGGACGACATTTCACTTCTCATCCGGGAGCTTCCTTAAGCAAAAAGAAACTTCAACTACAGAACAGAGCAATTTTTTATTTATTTACCATCTCCTGGATGACAGAACCTGCAGCAGCACTGCTGCTCAATTCTTATACACGTGATTTCAATTTTAATGAGTTATGGTTCATGTGTATATTTTGCTGAACGGAGTTAATTTTTCAACTGAACTGTAAAATAAAATGAATCAATAAATTCTCTTCAATCCTCTAACCTGCTTGTCATTAGCTACGTGCCTCTCAAGTGAGCAAGCTAACGTTTAGATAAACTAGCATCGGCTATTACCTTGTACAACTCTATCCAGAACAATAAGTCTAATGTAGAGGTAAAATATATCAGTGTTTGTAACAAAAATAGTTTGTAAGCTCAATCATCCAGGTAGATAACAACAACAAAGGTTAAATCATATCATCTTGACCAGTTTCTTTAAGTGAGAAATGTTTCGTCCCTCATCCAGAGGACTTATTCAGTCTACGGCCTGCCAACCAGATCTGTCCCATAGGTAGCCTTCACTGCTGTTCCAATCCAACCTCCTGTTGGACTCTCAAAAGTAGACTTTTAACACCGAGTGTGTCTGCACGTGTTAAAAGCCTGCTTCTGAGATTCCACCAGCAGTCACGTGCTGAAGTGTCCCTGGGCAAGACACTGAACCCCTCACTGCCTCTGATGTGTGTCCCATCAGTGTATGAATGTGATAAAACTCTGATTGTGTGTACAGATCTAGTAGAGAGCTGTATGAATGGGTAAATGAGGACACAGATTGTTGTAAAGAGCTTTGAGTGTCATGAAAAGATAGAAAGGAGCTGTATAAGTGCAGTCCATTCAGCTGCGCCATCTTCACAACGTTCGTAAGCATGTGTGAAGCTGCAACTGCAGCTCCGACACACTTCAGCCTCCTTCCCTGAAACAAACCACGGGTAAGAACTCATTTAGCCGTGCTGTGCCTTATGAGAGGACCAGAGAGAGGTGGTGCCACATTAATAAAGCAGCAGCTTATCATATTGCTAAAGACACTGTCCCGTCTCAGCTGTGGAACAAGATTTTTTAAACATTGAGATATTGCCCAGCTCTAGCCTTAACCATACTTGACTTGTTTAAACAATGGACAGTGAAGGCGTTTCTTTGTTTAACTTATAGTTTTGTTACACACTGGATAACTTTATGGTGAATAGTGGAGGATAGAAAATGTGAACGCACGTTAGGAAGACTGTTTCAAAACTTTAAGTGCTAAAACAGGTTTAAAAGTAGCTGTTTAGATTCTTGGGGTTGGACAAAGCTAAAAAGATTTCAGCCATTACCAGTATATCCGTTATCGACATTAGCCCCCCACTCCCAATATGGGTATCAGCGATAGCCACAATTTCCATATTGGTCGGGCTCTAGTTAGCATCACTGAAACTAGCAGCATAGTGAGAGGATGTATTTTGAGCAGCACCATCTGAGGCTTAGAAGCTTCTTACCGACATCATTTGGCTCATATTGCTTAAAAGTAACTCCATAAATGGAGAATGATGATGAATGAAACGGTACAAAGAACCACGTCCATCACTGTGTGTGGTTAAGAGGAAACCTCTGCATCCATGGAACAAGTGTGTCCTCAGTCAGATGAAAGAGTCAGAACTGAAGGAACATTGTAACACAGTTAGTCCTCCCTGAACTCTCAACAGTCTTTAAACGCTGTAGTTGGCTGAGTGTCCAACACCACAGCACATAAATGGATTTGTTTACTATTGTTCACATTTTACTTTTTTGTTTAATATCCTCTAAAAAAAGAAGCGTTAAAGAAACGTTTTCAAACCTTCTAGTTTAATTTTTAATGCCAAAGTGCAATTTTTCAAAAGATAATTGAGATAATTATAATAATTGATTTCAATTCACAACAACAAATATTGGTATTTTTATTTAGTAAGAACTGCACAGAGCTTTTTTCAGAGTAGTTTTCCACACGGTTAAGTGAAAGGTGTTCATTTTGCTGTGAGCTCTTCTGAACAGTCAGGTTGGTACTTTGGGGCAGCAGTGGCTGAGTGGTTACAGCAGTCGTTCTACAATGGGAGAGTTGGGGGTTCGAATCCACCAGTCACATGCTGAAGTGTCCCTGGGCAAGACACTGAACCCCTCATTGCCTCCGATGTGTGTCCCACTGGTGTATGAATGTTATAAAGCTCTGATTATTCCTTGTACATATCTAGTACCTGCTAACCTGACCGGACCGGACCTGCCAACAGAACAGAACCATGGTGTTGAAAGAACCTCACTGCTAACCAAATACCACTGTAGATGTATTTCTTTTTCACCTTTGACACCTTGTTCTTTAGTATTTTAGTAGTATTTTTTGTATATGTTTTTTAGTATGTTAGTATTTTTTTATGTTTTTCTTAGTATGTTAGTAATATATTTTATAGTATGTTTTCTGTATTTTTGCTGCATGATTTGATATTTCTTGTTGTTTTTATTTTACTTTTTTTTTTTTGGCGAGTCGAGGCGGTTCTTCTCGTCCTAACATTTCATTTCATTGTTGACCTCGAGTTAATTTTGCACAGGACAAATAAATCTAGCCTAACCTAGTAGAGCGCTGCATGAATGGGTAAACGAGGCACAGATTGTGTTGTGAAGAGCTTTGAGTGTCTTGATAAGATGGAAAGGTGCAAGTACAAGTACAGTCCATTTACTTTGTGTGATTCTTCAGAACACAAACCTGAAGGGTCAGAAACCTCAAGTCAAGGTCTCACTGTGCTCCATGAAAAACAAGCTACAGAAATGTCAACAAATCATTCCCCAGAGTTTTACATCAGCTGAATTCGCATCATATCAACTAGCTCTGGAAGCATTTTTTGAGTAACTCCTTTAATCATGTTCCAAAATCTGGATATATTGTTAGGGTAAAAGAAAATGGGTAAACTTGCACACACAAATAAACTAAACATAAAAAACAGAATCTGTTCTTACAGTGCCAGAAAGTTGAAAGCGGATTTTGGTTTTCTGTTGAGGATCAGACACAGGATGACACTCCAAGTCCCAGAACTGGACGTAAGTCCCTCTGCCTCTGGGAAGGAAGGTAACGGGCACCTGACGGAGCACAAACAACGGAACAACAAACCATTTCATCCAACTAGAACACACTGACCTCCACCTGTATGTTTCATATTCTTCTTCGTTTGTCCTCTTATATAAACATCTTAAAAGAGGGCATTTAAACATTTCAAATTATATACATACATTCTTTTCCCCAATCAGCACAAAAAAATTATTTACTGCAAACAAATTAACTTTGGACACAACAAATTAGACGTTATTTAAATTTTTTGTGTGAAACATGAATCTTAAAAAGTCGAAGAAAACAATATTTTAAAGTAGAAACAAAGAAAACTTTATAGGCTTTAAACACTTCTGCAGTTCCACACTTCATACGTCTCTAAAAATACAAGAATACTTTTATATCTTCATGTTTTCCCACAAACTGATAATTACAGCATTTTCAAAATTACTTGATCAGCATAATTTAATATCATTATAGTTTATTTATGCAGCATCGATTCACAACAAAAGCATTAAACAAATGAAGCAAAATTGTTCTGTTAGAAAATAAGATAAAATAAAATGAGGGCCAACCTGCATCTTCTCATGGGCCCCAAGGACTCCTGAGACCTTGGAACATCTGAAGGCAGTGTAGGTGGCTCGGTAAACATCTTCAGTGTCTTCAACCCCCTGAGAAGAGGAAGAAACAGCCTGAAGTCAGCCACAGGAACCAGGACAACCTGATAAATGTTGGGCGCTCACTCAGACAGGACTTCCTCTATCAGGTATTCTACATTTTTAAAGTAAGACCTTCACACTGCAGTTCAGGGGCTTCCTTTGTACAGAATGGGAGTAAAAGAAACTGACTGCCAAAGTAAACCATGAAACACACAATATAAAAACCATATGTTGCCCAAATAAAATCTTAAGACATTCAAATTAACTCGATAGAAGATGGAAAATATTTGGGAAAACATTTTGGCACGTGTTCCTATAATCTTATGTGGAGGAATGTTGGCACGGTGGATCAGTTAGTAGAGCTGCTGCCTCTCAGTGAGAAGGTCCTGTATCCCTAGAAGCACACTCACTGCAGATGATGCTGAAAAACTGGTCCAGGCCTAGCTAGGCCTGTCGCAACAAACAATCGCATGATAAATTAAAATCATCAACCTCATTTTCATTTATCAGCTTTGTTTCTTCATGTCTCTCTTTCTGCTGAAGACACTGGATGACAAAAGGTTCAACTCCGGTGATCTTCACTGACCCCTCCCTTTCTCTTTAAAATCTGTTTTAACCGTGCAAAAATCACGTTTTTGGATTGCTAAAAGCAGCTAAACTGAGAAGCTAAGCTACGAGCTAAGCTAACAGGCCGACCTTGGGGAAAAACCTCCGTCTTGTCGAAGCTCCAAAAATCACGGTAGAAACCCGTGCCTTTGTATAAAAAGTTGTTTTTCTCTGCAAAAAGCAGCCGAGAACTTGTTTACTGATTTTTTATTAAAAGCTTTGTGTGAAAAACGCTCTGCTAAAGAGCTCAAACCACACCGAGCGTCCGCCATTTTGAGAACCAAAAAATAGGAACGAGACACAGCCCATGTCAGGTCAAGAGGCCTCCCTCCCATTTTTCTTAAAGTGACACGCTGCTCGCTCCCTCACTATCCATCCTTCAGTTCAAACAGTCTTATACTGCCATCCAGTGGTCGAAAAAGGTACTACACACCAAAGAAAATTAATCAACATTTCTTCAATTTGTCAATAATTAGTAATTATTGTCAAATTTCAAACAATATTATCGTTTATCGCAATAATTTCTGAGACAATTAATTGCTTGGCAAAATTTGTTATCGTGACAGGCCCGTCCAGGCCTTCATCTCCTGCAGACTAACCTACTGTTGCCTGGTGTCCAAAAATAACTTAAAGTCTTACAGAACAGTGGAGTAGTGGCAGAGGGACCATGGTTCTCCTGTTTCAGCCTCTCTGTACTGGCTTCATGTGACTAACAGGAAATGATACGAAATCCTTCTCATGACACATAAAGCACTGAAAGATCTAATTCCAGCATGTGTAAAGTAGTTAATCGTCTCTTACAACCCAAATAGAAGACTTCACTCCCAGCAAGCAGGTTATTAGCTGTTCCAACAGTGTTTAAACTCAGACTGGGAGGATGAGCCTTTAGTTTTCAGGCTCCTCTCCTCTGGAATGCTACAGTACAAAACAACCAGTCTGCGTTTAAAACTAAGTAAAAACTTATTTGACAGAACTTATTTTTTATTGATTATTTCCAAAGTCATAGTCACTGTTTTATTAAAAAGTGTGTTGCTTGTTTTTAAATGTTTCATCATCTGTTCTTATGCATTGATTTATATAGTTTTGTTTTAATTGATTTTTATTGCTTTTAAATTGATCTAATCTGTTATTTTATTCCAGTGTATTTTATTGTTTTGCATTTTCAATGCACACAAAATGGTGAATAGAGAACAAAAAAAGAAAAAAATCACCTTGACATATGGAGGAGCAAATGACGACAAGTACCACCTCACTTCCACGTCCCCATTCTGAATCTCCAGCTGGGCTTCTGAAATACAACAACAGCTTTATTCTTCTGCAGGAATGAGCACGCACGCACGCACGCACACACACACACACACGCGCGCACACACACGTGTATATCACCCTATAGAAGATATTCCATTTTGGTTTTCTTCTTCTCCAGAGTACTAATGTACAAGTTTATGTGAAAACAACCTACCTGAAGTTTCTCCTGAAGGGGTTGTAGGGAAAGTGATGATCTTGCTGCTGATCTCCACCTGGGCCCGAGTCGCCTGCAGGGCCGGCGAGGGCTTGCTGCTGATTCTGGCCACAGGCAGCACCGGAGTAGCAGCCTGGGCAGACAGGGCCGACAGAGCTGGATCTGTCGGCGTCACAGACACGTCCAGAGCCAAGTCCTCACGTATTTGGACCTTAATGAGCTGAACCAGAACCACAGATTGTATTATTTTCTCACTCACTACACTAAATGCATACTGCAAACAATGTGTTGTTTAAAAGCTTTAATATTTTTATTCTGCATTAAAGTAGTCTAAAGGACTGTCCATGATTATTTTGTTTAATTCAAGGCAGCCTTTATTTAAAATAAGAGCACCAGTAAATAAACGTTTGTTGAGTAAGTTCTAATAAATGAGAACGTTAAATTTCTGACTGGCATTTTTCCGAACAAGAAACTAAACAACTTTTAACACATGTCCAAGTTGATTGTGATGTTTTTTCCTTTATTTTTTGTTTGGTTAGTGATCACCGTTATACTACACTTTAACAGAAAACCTGTAGCATCATCTTATGACAGCACTATGCTGCGTGTCTTTTTGTGGCTACAATTCAATTTTTTAATTAGTTACAAACACAGTGAATGCTCTCACCTTTTCTTGACCGTCACACTGGACATAAATTTGTCCACTCCATGGCAGCAGGGCAGATTTAGTTGCCAACGAAGGATTGGGGCTGATCAAAATCTGCAGTTGGCACCTGGGATATAAAAAACAAGATCCAGGTGAAATAATGATACCCAGGTATGCATTACATGCAGTGAGGAAAATAAGTATTTGAACATCCTGTGACTTTCCAAGTTCTCCCACTTAGAAATCATGGAGGGTCTGAAATGTTCATCTCAGGTGCATGTCCACTGTGAGAGACATAATCTAATAAATAAATCCAGAAATCACGATGAATGATTTTTAAAATAATTTATTTGTATGTTACTGCTGAAAATAAGTATTTGAACACGTGTGAAAATCAATGTTAATATTTGGTACAGTAGCGTTTGTTTGCAGTTACAGAGGTCAAGTGTTTCCTGTAGTTTGTCACCAGGTTCACTGCAGCAGATTCTGGTCCATTCCTCCACAGATCTTCTCTAGATCAGCCAGGTTTCTGGGCTGTCGCTGAGAAACACAGAGTTTGAGCTCCCTCCAAAGATTTTCTACAGGGTTTAGGTCTGGAGACTGGCTAGTCCACTCCAGAACCTTGATCTGCTTCTTACAGAGCCACTCCTTGGTTCTCCTGGCTGTGAGCTTCAGGTCATTGTGATGTTGGAAGAACCAGCCACGACCATCTTCAATGCTCTAACTGACTGTGTGGGGTGGACCAGTGTCTTTATGCAGCTACCGACCTCAAACAGGTGCTTCTAATTTAGAATAATCAGTGGAGTGGAGGTGGACTTTTTAGAGGCGGTAAGTGTAAAAATGAACAAACAACATTTTTGTCTCAAATCTCCACAAAAATAAGAGATGTGAAATAAGAAACATGTATTTCTAAGAGTGAATACAGTGTTACGTTTAATATTAACAGAATGTATAGAAAGACACCCATTGAACAGTCGTGTGCACTTTTTACTGAGCAAACACAAAGTGACTTCTTACTGAGGCTCGATGAGTCCGTGCTGCGGTGTGATGGTGAGGCAGTGTGCTGGCCAGGACAGGTCAAAGTTCAGCTCTCTGGAAGTATGGTTTCGAACGTGGACCTGGCTGGTGCTGGTTGGACCATCTAAAACAAACAAGACTTACATCAGTTGCTTTGACAGCTAGGTGAAAATTTAAACTAGAGGAAATCACATGTCCTGTGAAAATGCAGTGAGAATGCTTATTGCTGAAAAACAGCTGAAATTAGCTAAAGACATGCTGAAATGAAGCTGAAATGGAAGAACAAGCCCAAGTTTGCAGAAGAAAGCAGAAAGAACACGTTTGTCCAATTAGGCTGAAAAAGCATAAATGAGCACAAAAAAGTGGAAATTATCTGGAAGAAAAAAGAAAGAAATTTGTAAAAAAAAAAAAAACAGCTGCAAAATCGCAAAAAAAAAGGCAGAAAGAAGCTTAAATTGCCAGAAGTGGAGAGAGAACAATTTTACTTAATTAGGCTGAAAAATGCTGAAATGAGTGCAAGAATGTCGAATTAGCTGAAAAGGCTAAACTTAGCATAAAACAGCTAAATAGTAGCTAAAATAGAATAAATAAGCAGAAAGGAGGATAAACTGAAATTAGCAGAAAGAAGTTAGAAAAAGCACAAACATGTTGTAGTTAGCAGAAAGAATCTGAAAGGAGCACAAAACTGCTGAAAAAACAGCTGAAATTAGCTGAAAGTAGCTGAAAAAAGTTAAAATTGCACAAGGAAGCTGAAAGAAGCTGAAGTAGAACAAAATGTGAAAGGAGCAGTAAAAGGTTGTAAACACATTTCAAGGATGTAAAATGAGCTCAATTCATTTTCTATGAGAATAAAATGGCAGAAAAGGCTAAATAGTTCAAATAGCTGAAGTTGCATTAATACCAAAAGTCACAGCAGGATTGTCCTGAAAGAGCTGAACGTTTTGATTTATGATTTGTTGAAATAACTGGGTAACTGCGGGACAAGAATATCGCCAAAAAATGTTAAAAAAATGTATCACAATAGTGTGCACGCTTCATAAACATTCATAAAATTACGTAAGAGGCTTAAAAAAGATTCAGCTCACTGATGGTGGGAGCTGCAAGGACGAGTTGTTGTGGATGGACGGTCCAGGACTCTGGCGGTGTTTGCAGAGACTCAGAAGCCTGAAGGGGAGAGAAATCCAAAGTTATACATTTCCACCATTAAAGACTGAAACTAGGGAGTTTATCTCATGCATCTGGAATGAGATGTTCAAAACCCCTTTAAGTACCTTAGAGGAAGATTGTTCAACTCTCAGCGCTGGACCCTGTGGACCCCTCACAGGCAGCACATCCAGAGACACGCTGCCGTTGGGACAACCACTGAGAAGAAATACACAACAGAACTTTGTGTTCAGATCCAAAGAAAGGACAAGCTTATAAACAGAAACTGGTTTTATATTTAACTATATATACACACACTACTGTACAAACCGGATTCTAAAAAAGTTGGGACACTAAACAAATTGTGAATAAAAACTGAATGCAATGATGTGGAGGTGCCAGAGGAGACCAGTTTCTCAAGTTTAGAAATAGGATGGACCTTTACAAGAGATCCTTCCTGTCTACAGCCATCAGCATCTATAACATCTCTTAATGAAATGAGGATAACGAGTTATAACAACAAAATAATTTCCTTTTGGGATTAATAAAGTATGTTTGAATTGAATTTAATTGAATTTTTCCTTTAAAATGTTACATTTACTCAGATTAAACTTTTGATCTGTCATCTATGTTATATTATGAATAAAATATTGACATGTGCCATCTCCACATCATTGCATTCAGTTTTTATTCACAATTTGTTTAGTGTCCCAACTTTTTTGGAATCCGGTTTGTAGAACTACTGTAGAACTGTGTTCGCAGCGCTCTTAAGCATGTGCATGTCAGTTCATGGAGTGATTTTGTGGAATGGCGTAGATGTAGATGATAAGCTAAATAAAAATATTGCATAACTCAAAAGAAAATATGATTACAAAAAGTAATGTTATTGAATTGTAAATGATGTAAATGAATGTACATGAATGTATGAAACAACGTAAATGAATGTGTATTAAAACGAATGAGACAAAATGATGTTATTCCAGCTGTTAATTTGTTAATCTGTGTTTGCATATTAATATTTGATCTGTAGGTGATAAGAGTACATTTGTATAGCTGCAAGTATATTGATGTATGTGTAGTTATACCTAACTATGCATGCATGGCTGTATGTATACAACTACATATGCATGTATGAGTATTTAAGTATTTTATGTATATATTGAAACAGTTTGATTCAGAATTTGCATGTAAACTTAGGGACAGGCCTGGCTGCCCCCATCTTGGTCTCTCTGACCACATCTCCATGTTTATGGCCCCTATCTAATACCTCCCCCCGCAGAGACGTTCCAAACCAACATAGAAAACTATCAGTGTGGCCCAGTGACAGTGACTCTGTACTGCAGGACTGTTTTTCATGCAGACTGGCAGGTCTTCAGGGAGGCTGCTGTAAATGAGGGAGAACTGGATCTGGAGGAATACAAACTGGATTCCAAAAAAGTTGGGACACTAAACAAATTGTGAATAAAAACTGAATGCAATGATGTGGAGACGGCAAATGTCAATATTTTATTCGTAATATAACATGGATGACAGATCAAAAGTTTAATCTGAGTAAATGTAACATTTTAAAGGAAAAATATGTTAATTCAAAATTTCACATTGTCAACAAATCCCAAAAAAGTTGGGACAAGTAGCAACAAGTGGCTGGAAAAAGGAAATTGAGCATATAACGAACAGCTGGAAGACCAATTAACACTAATTAGGTCAATTGACAACATGATTGGGTATAAAAAGAGCTTCTCAGAGTGTCAGTGTCTCTCAGAAGCCAAGATGGTAAGAGGATCACCAATTCCACCATTGTTGTGCAGAAAGATAGTGCAGCAATACCAGAATGGTGTTACCCAGCGTAAAATAGCAAAGACTTTTAAGTTATCATCATCAACCGTGCATATCATCATCAAAAGATTCAGAGAATCTGGAACAGTCGCTGTGTGTAAGGGTCAAGGCCGTAAAACTCTACTGGATGCTCGTGATCTCCGGGCCCTTAAACGTCACTGCACCTCAAACAGGAATGCCACTGTCAAGGAAATAACAGAATGGGCTCATGAATACTTCCAGAAAGCATTGTCAGTGAACACAATCCACCGTGCCATCTGCCGTTGCCAGCTGAAACTCTACAGTGCAAAGAGGAAGCCATTTCTAAGCGAGCTCCACAAGCTCAGACGTTTGCACTGGGCCAGGGGTCATTTAAAATGGAGTGTGGCAAAATGGAAGACTGTTCTGTGGTCAGATGAGTCACGATTGGAAGTCCTTCATGGAACACTGGGACGCCATGTCATCCGGACCAGAGAGGACAAGGATAGCCCAAGTTGTTATTAACGCTCCGTTCAGAAGCCTGCATCACTGATGGTATGGGGTTGCATGAGCGCTTGTGGCATGGGCAGCTTGCATGTCTGGAAAGGCACCATTAATGCAGAGAACTATGTTCAGGTTCTAGAACAACATATGCTCCCATCTAGACGTCATCTCTTTCAGGGAAGACCCTGCATTTTTCAACACGATAATGCCAGACCACATTCTGCAGCAATCACAACATCATGGCTACGTAGGAGAAGGATCCGGGTACTGAAATGGCCAGCCTGCAGTCCAGATCTTTCACCTATAGAGAACATTTGGCGCATCATAAAGAGGAAGGTGTGACAAAGAAGGCCCAAGACGATTGAACAGTTAGAGGCCTGTATTAGACATTAATGGGAGAGCATTCCTATTTCTAAACTTGAGAAACTGGTCTCCTCTGTCCCCAGACGTCTGCTGAGTGTTGTAAGAAGAAGGGGGGATGCCACACAGTGGTAAAAATGGATTTGTCCCAACTTTTTGGGGATTTGTTGACGCCATGAAATTTGGAAACAGCAGATTTTTCCCTTAAAATGATACATTCTCTCAGTTTAAACTTTTGATCTGTGATTTGTGTTCTATTATGAATAAAATATTAGATGTTGGCACCTCCACATCATTGCATTCAGTTTTTATTCACAATTTGTTTAGTGTCCCAAGTTTTTTGAAATCCAGTTTGTATATTCTACATTTTTAAGTGTGTGTTTATAAACTCAAGTCACAAAAAACAATGAGATTTTAGGATTATTTTTAAACAAACCAAGAAAAAAAAATGCTATAGTTTGGAGAGTGGTTGCCACAAATTGAACTGACTGGCATCTTTCCTATCGGATATCTCAGCCGTACTTTTAGACATTAAGACTGAGCTAAGGTGCCAAAATTAAAAACCCGATCAAGAGCCAACCTGTTAACCTGTTGATGTTGCTTCATGAGACAGCGTTAAACTCCAAAAGAAGTCTGAACACATTTTAATATCAAGATCTTTTCACATGCTTACTCATTTTTAAGCCAGCATTTGTGTTGTCATGTCACACAGAAATGCTAGTTTTAAGTTGAAGCAACTGTTTGTGAAGTGACAGTAAGTTTGTGACGTTACCCTTCTGTCTCTGAGCTATGGCCAGCAGACGACATCAGCAGTTTGCTCTGCTCATGTTTGTCACCATCTTCACTCTTCGTACGTCCCAGAAGTGACACCAACAGCTTACTCATGTTGCTGTAGAAGAGATGGGCCTCATTAGGCCTCTGTGGCAGGTCATAGGCTACAGAAAAGGCAAAGAATTGATTAGAAACGCGTTGGGTTACAATAAAGAAATGCAAATCTGAAGGAGGCAACAGAATTTACATAAACTCCAATCAAAAGCAAAAAGCCCAGTTACAGAACTACTCCTGGGTTATATTTTTCAGATTATCAGGAATTGGGAAGCACAGTGAAATATGAAAATGTTGCAGAATGCTCACAGTGGTCTACTGATAATCTATACAACAAAGGTTAAAGTTAAAACATTGAGATTTTGTCCAGCATGAACGTCTCACCCTCTTTAACATGTTCTTCCCCCAGGAACTTTTCATTGAAGTCTATATTTTTCAGCAAGCTGTTCTCAGATAGGGCTTTCCTTGTAGCCTCTGGTTTGCTCTGAAGTAATCTGAGCAAAAACACAACCATGTTCAGTAATAACATTTAATTATACAAACAGTTTTGTTCAAAATAGGCTAAAATAGCATTTCCCTCTTGTTAAAAAGTCAAATTAACTGCAGTGTTTGCTGAGGGCAAATCAGATTTTAATTAATAACAACCCACAACTAATTTCAGACTTGGTAGTGTTTATACTTAAAATGTTTCATTATCAGTGCTACACAAATTCAATCCACTTATATTTGAAGGTAAATGCTGCAAGATGTCACCTCCTGTATTGCTGCCTGGAGACCTCATCTCCACAGAAAAGGCAGACTGTGGCCAGTGGAGTATCAGCCGAGTCACACAGACTCTGCTCTCGCTGGGTGGACTTCAGCAGCACTGTGATCACCTGCAAACAGTAGAGTCCAGAGAAGGAACCACTTCAGTTACTAGATTCATTCCAACTTTTTTGGAGCACTTCAGGTCCAAATTTAATTTCTTCCCCCTGAGCTAGTGAGATTAAAACCAGCAGTAGCCGACCTCTTACCTCTTGTGTCCTTTCCTTTAGTACGAACTGTGACGGAGCCAGGCTCAGGACAGAAGGCTCCAGAACTGATCGGGCTGGTAAGTCGGAGAAGGCCACAGCTTTGACAAAGGCTGCTCTGGAGCCGGTGTTTCTTACACACAGACACATTTTGCTGACACAACCAACAGCTACTTCAGTCAGTGTAGCAACGTAGCCATCGGCCTGTTTCCTCTGGTCCTCCAGAATGATGTTGCTTGTACCCCCATAGCCAGACAGAGGAATCTGATGAAAGGAATGGAAAACATTAATTGTACCAAGATGGTGCTATGATGCATTTTGGGTGATCTGATCACAAGAGGACACTGCCAAATACAAATATTAACACACAGATAGAAGACAAATGCTAATCTTATCACACGGCCACATTCAGCTATGACCTGGGGCATGTGTCCCCAGCAGCATGAACTACACTTAAAGACCGCCTGCTGACCAACATCTCTCTACACAGGCAGCTACGATGCTAGCTGGAAAAAACAACAACATATATTCTGTTAAAAAAAAAACTGCTAAAATTAAATCCAGCTGCCAATGACTTAGAAATGATGCAACAAGAGTTTGTAAAAATATGATGAAAATGGAAGGGGTTGCTAAAGGTTAAAGGGTTTTGTAGGTGGCTGAGACAGTGTAGAGGTCAGGTAGCTGACTTGGGACCAGAAAATCGTGGTTCGACTCCGCCATTCCCACATGTCGTGGTGTATGGTACGGTGGTACAAGACACCCAATCCCCAGTTGCTCCCCGGGCACTTACATAGCTGCCCACTGCTCCACCTGGGTGTATCCCTGTTGTGATGGGTTAAATGAGAACTAATTTCATGATTGTATGGGAACATACATTGATGACGATCTCAGACTTCCCTTCCCTTAATGGAAGTGGACAGCTTGAACCACTGCCAACGAAAAGGGCCTTATTTTCAGGGAAAACAAAAGTGTCTCAGTTATCAGTGGATTACTGCAAAGATTCATGGCGATTTGCCTTTATAGTGTGTAATTATTGTTTTTGTCTGGGTGTTATGGGCCGTAGTTAATACATCATAAAATGCTTTATGACAAGAATCAGATATTTCCACCAGAAATAAAGGAGTTCCTCGTTTATCGCAGAGGACCCGTACCTGCAAAAAGTGAAAAACTGTGAAATAGGAATATTAGTAAAAGTAGTAAGTAGTAGTTTATTTTAGTATTATAAGCAGGTGCAGCAATGCTAAATAATTTAAAATAATTTATTCACAATAAAAATTCCATGCAGATGGTGCGGCTCATCCATCAATCAGCCAATTGTGTCATGTCCAATCTTATTTTGAAAATCTGCGATAGAGCGAGTCCTCGTAAAATGAACCGCGAAGTAGCGAGGGACTACTGTACTAAACTTGAGGTATTGCCTGCATGTGGAAACAAACTAATATGCCTTACTGAGCTGCATACTGCGTTCTGACATTGAAAGTTTATTTGTAGCATTCCTAACATTTCTTCTCTTGTTGTAATTAATGGTATGTTTCTATATCAGTTATAACCACAGCTGTACTCACCATCTCTTAAAAAAGACTGTGGTTTGTCAAACACGAACGTATAGAAAGAAATCAAAGTTATGCTTCGCCTACCTTACCATCATAATTCATTCATCTCCATGTTACTCACTACCTGTGTAGTTTATGTTAGTTATGTGCAGTATACATCATGTGCATTTAAGTTAATATTACTACCTGTGAAATATTTATTTATACCAATTCATCCTACCTTCACAGTTATATTGCACCACGTTGATGTTTACTACCAGATTTCTTTTGGACCTTGTAAATATTAGATTTCTTTTTCACTTGTTGGTACTTTATTTTGTGCCCTTAATGCATGCTTTAGTATTTGCTTGTTTTCAGTGAGTCAAATCAGTTCTTCTCATCCTGAATATTTCATTACATTGTTGACCTCGTGTTAACCTGCAAATAATAAACAACACAACACCTGCTTCTGTACTTGTTCTGTTACATTGCAGTTAAAAGGCTTTGGCTTGTTCATCTTCATCAGTGTGAGCTACAGTCAAAGCAGCTGTGAGTTTAGATCTAATCCGGCTTGGGAGTCTCTTGCCCCCAAACATTTAGCTCCCGTTAAATTATTCAAACTCTAAAAACCAGAAGGTATGACAGCAGTAGTAAATGTGGGGCAGCAAGTAGGGAATATTTTGTTGCATTACAAGGCTCATAGATGAACAGGAGGTGACACGGTTATTTAATGTGAGCAAAAGCTGCTTTAAAATCAAAACAGAGCCTTTACTTACATTTTTACGAATAAATAAATCTTTAATATTTGTTACTAGCTAAATTGAGGTGTGTTCATTTCAGTCCGTGTGCAGTCCAGGTAAATGAATGAAAAATGTGTCTTTCAGAAGCAACAGAAACCCTGTTGATGTCTTGTTTGTGGGCCAGCTGTGTGACGGAGGCAGCACATTTATTAGCATACGGAGCGAGTCGTGTCTAATCACAGTGGATACTCACATTTAAGGATGCATTTTTCTGTTTGGTGTCAACATATAGAGTGATCCATGCATGTAAATAGCCTCTAAAATAACCAAAACTACCACTAAAGTCCTTCAAAAATAACAGCATCCACACAGACACATGCACACACACTACAGAGACAATAAATGACATGATGAAGAGAAAAAACAACTCATGACTTCAGGAGAAGAAGCCACATAGTGTTAAGATGATGAGAGTTGCGTCCTCACAATAAATTTGACTCCTGGTTGTGAAGGCCGGACCCCAGACTGCTTGATCTCTAGTTTGGCGATCATGCACGCCACCCTGGTGGGGGCAAAGAGCAAGTGGATGGTCACGTCCTCCTTGGGTCTAATGGACAGCTCTCCGTGTCGGGCTAGACACTCTTCAGGGCTGAACATGCTCTGGAGCTGAAAACATGCAGACAATAGGACAACAAAACAACCTTAGAACAAAGAAGACACTGTTTGACTGAACTTGGTCTTTTTACATAAAGACCAACAGCTTTTAACCTAGTCCAAGCTTAAGAAAACTCACAAATAAAAAGGAAAACAGAGTGAAAACTTTTCTAAAGTCAGGTCCTCTGGACGTTTTCTTTTTGTTGAAACGTTTCATCTTTCATCCAAAGGACTTCATCAGTCTGAGGAGCCACAACAAACTCAGTCTTATAAATAGCACCTTACATAGTGGGTCAACCAGTTTGATGGTGCGCAGATGGTTCTGGAGTCCACCCTCTCCCCCGACAACTCTTTAAAAAAATGCATTATCATTCATTATTACGTTATCATTTTGGTATTTAGAAACACTGACTTTTTTATGAAACCATCAGAGCACCAACAAACTGGTTGACCCAGTATGACAAGGTACTGGTACTATTTATAAGACAGAGTTTGTTGTAGCTCCGCAGACTGATGAAGTCCTTTGGACGAAACATTTCAGCACAAAGAAACCATCCAGAGGACCTGACTTAACTTTGTTGGATTTTCTACCTGGATTATTGAGCATGAACTTTGATACAGTGAACAAAGATTGTGAAAGGTGACAAACGTGTCCTCTTTACTTTTCTGTGTTCAAACATGAACTCATCACAACGTACCTGAAAACAGTCTTGGTCTTGACCCCGAATAAGTAAGCGCAGATGCTGTGTGGTGCCAGACGAGTTGTTCCTTAGAACCAGCTTCTGTTGGCTACAAACAAGGCTGCTGGTGATTACAGGATGTGTTTCTGATGAAATATCTAAACCATTCGTTTCAAATTAAGAGCCCTAAGACTGAAGTCACTCCTCGTCTAGGATCAAGTTGAACTTGAATGTGGTTAAAAACACTCTGCTTTAGTGATTTTGGTGAAGCAACATTTACTAGAATCCAATGGGGCATTGTGTTGTAATAGTTTGAGGGAGAATACCCCTAAAGGCATTTCAGTCTTCTTTTATAAATAACGTTACACCAGCTTCAGCAGACTAAGATGGAACATGGAGCCTCGAGGCTCTTATTTTTAAACTAAGTGTTTTTTCTGTTGTTGTTGTTACCAAGCAGCAGTGACAGAACAAAAAGTGGAGTGTTGCCTACACAGCTCGTCCAAGGGTGACCCCGCCCCAGGCCACAAATTGCTTATTAGACAGGATTGGTGGGACGTCACTGGTCAGAGCAGGAGCAGGTTTTCCAGAGTCAGAAGGAAGAACTTCTCCTTTCAGCATCATCTCATACTGAGGGCCAGACGGCAGCACCAGCACGGTGAGAAGGCTGAGACAGAAAGACAAAAAGTTTAGTCCAGCACGTGACAGAGTCTCAGGTTTTCACAGGTACTCAGGAAAAAAGGTCATCCAGCTAATCAAGTCAAGTCAGATTCATTGATAGAGCACATTTAAAACAGAAACTGTTACCAAAGTGCTGAACAAAAATATCACAACATCAAATAAAAAGTACCAGGATATATTTACAGCACATGGAATAAAAATATAAAACAGAAAACATAATTAGAAACAATGAAATACTAAATCAGATCACGTTGTGTCAAAAGTCAAGGAAATAATAACAAAAAGCATAAACTCAGTCAGAAACAAAGAGCTACGGCTCAGTCAAAATAAATCTACTCTTGGATATGCTTAGAGTACCTACAAGTTACTACACCTGTTGGTTCAGAAAACTCTGTCAATCAGACCAGATTATTTAGTTTTAAATAAGAAGGTAAAAGCCCATGAGTTGTTTATTTACGTCCTCTGTGTCATCACAAAACTTGTTTAAAGTCTGCAGACAAAGCCTGCGGATTACTGGTACCTTTCTTTACATTCCTTGTTGCTTTGTGCTTTGAAAGACACGGTGATGTCGCGCTCTTCTCCGACACGCAGGGACAGTTCACCGGGCGTCACCGTAAAATCATCACCGCTTTCACTGATCTGCAAACAAAAAGAACAAACTCTGACAGGACATCTTTTTATGCTGAAAAGGAGTTATAAATTGGTTAAAGCAAACAAAGTACACAAGGGAAAAAAAGTCAGGAAAATAAATAAATTAAATAAAAAAACTTGAACACAAATTATGATTTTTGATTCATTGCTGCTGAAAGTGCAAGTTCTCAGTCCCAAATATCATAAAAATGTTACATAAATCTTCAATCTACGGTAATAAACAAACATTATAATCTGAATTACCTTGAGTTTCAGCTGAACATCGATGTTCCCTGCGTTCTTTAGTGGCACCGTCTGTTTACTGCATTTACCCACCGGGCCACAAAGATGAACAGTCTACATAAAAAGTACCGTAAAACAAAAAGACTTTCATTTTCTTGTAAGTTCACCTTAATACTCCGTAGTAACCTCTATGTTTTCCCCTACTTTATGCTAGTCTGAATATAATTTCATTATAATTCTTCAGATAAAGTATTTGACTTGTGGTTTTTTCACATCTTGCTGATCATCAAAAGGTACAATAAAACATAGAAAAAGGTTTTACAGGTCTAATAAAGCTAAAGTAAGGAAAGCTTTATCCTGTCTGAGAATGAACCAGATGACAGTTTTGTTACCTGCAGATCTTTAGGAGCATGGACCCTCGCAGTTCCAGATCTGGCTTGGAGGAGAACACTCCTGATAACACGACTTGGACCAGGAGAGTCCACTTCGATGTCCACCCGAGCACTGTACTCATCAGCTGGACCAAGCTCCCCTGAGAGGCAAAGTACCAAAGTAAGGGGCAAAAAAAGTAATGTTGTGGTTCTGCTACATGCACATGTCTTCAATACATGTTTTAATAGCTTTTCAAAGTATTCAGTCAAGTCTGATCACCTGAAGAGACCATGTACTTCTGAGGAGCCTTAAAATGAACCCAGACCATGAAGCTCTCAGGATCCTGAAAGAGTCCATCAGTTATCATTAAATCAAACTTCATATTTCACAACAGGCTAAACTAAATGTTGTCCATGTATGAGACACAAGCTGTTGGCAACATTAAAAATGATGGACATTTTAAATAACTGATCTTGACTTGGCCTGTAAGGACTTTGGACATTTGCACCTCTCTGTAGCTGGCATGCATCACATGATTGATGACGGAGGGAGGGGCCACGAGGGGGGCGTGTCCAGCCTGCTGTGCCGCCGCACACATCGTGGTAACAGGATGTTTGGAAAAGGTGAAGCATCGCCATGCTGCGGCATTCTGAAGAAATAAAACATGAAAAGGAAAACTCGAATACAGATTGCTCTGAGTGCTGTGTGTGAAAAGGCAAAACAGGTTGGTTCAAAAATGTGATTACAAAATAAAAATAATGATATAGCATACTTTCAAAACAACTACCAAAACTTCTTGACATTTGCTTTGCCATTGTCTAAAAGGTCATTGAGCTTCCACTGCATGATCTTATTTAAACCAGGAGATTTGTGCTCATAAGCAACTTGAAAATAAAAACGTGTTAATAATCCTTTTAATAGCTGCATCCTGGAGGCAGCTGCCACCAGAGGTCACCGTGTCACCATCACAAATCAACAAGAACAAGTCCGTAAGTCAAGCACAGTCAAATTTATTTATAAAGCACTTTCAAAAACAGCAGCTGTTACCAAAGTGCTTAACAATAAAAATGAATGGCAGTAATTAAAAAATAATAATAATAACAAATATTAATTAAAAGCATCCAAAGCAAAACAAAAACAATAAAATACTAAGTCAAATCACACTGTGTTAAAAGTCAGTGAAAACAGATGTGTTTTTAAAAAATAATTAAAAACAGGAAGTGAAGTTGCCTGTCTAATGTTGGGGGCAGATTGTTCCAAAGTTTAGGGCCCGTGACTGAAAAAGCCCGATCTCCTCTGAACTTCAACCAAAAGCAGCTGGTCCGATGATCTCAGTGCCCGAGAAGGAACATACAGGTTGCTGGTCATAAAATCTGAATATCAACAAAAAGTTGATTTATTTCAGTAATTCCATTCAAAAAGTGAAACTTGTATATTATATTCATTCATTACACCCAGACTGAGATATTTCAAATGTTTATTTTTTAAAATGTTCAAGATTATAACTGACAACTAATGAAAACCCAAAATTCAGTATCTCAGAAGATTAAAATATTACTCAAGACCAATTAAAAAAAGGATTTTTAGAAATGTTGGACAACTGAAAAGTGTGAACATGAAAAGTACGAGCATGTACAGCATTAGTAGTTAGTTGTTGCTCCTTTAGCCTGGATTACTGCAGCAGTGCGGTGTGGCATGGAGTGGATCAGTCTGTGTCTCTGCTCAGGTGTTATGAGAGTCCAGGTTGCTCTGATCGTGGCCTTCAACTCTTCTGAATTGTTGGCTCTGGTGTATCACATCTTCCTCTTCACAATACTCTATAGATTTTCTATGTGGTTAAGTTCAGGTGAGTTTGCTGGCCAGTTAAGAACAGGGATACCATGGTCCTTAAACCAGGTACTGGTAGCTTTGGCACTGTATGCAGGTGCCAGGTCCTGTTGGAAAATGAAATCTATATCTCCATAAAGTTGGTCAGCAGCAGGAAGCAGGAAGTGCTCGAAAACTTCCGGGTAGATGCTGCGTTGGCACCAGGTGTCCAATATTGAACCTTTTCACAATATTCTAATTTTCTGAGACTGAATTTGAGGTTTTCATTAGTCGTCAGTTATAATCATAAACATTAAAATACAAACATTTGAAATATATCAGTCTGTGTGAAATGAATAGAATATACAAGTTTCACTTCTTGAATAAAATTACTGAAGTAAAATTTTCATGATATTTTAAGTTTATGACCAGCACCTGTATGGTTGAATTAGGTCAGAGAGATTTGAAGGTGCAAGGCCAATTAGGCACTTAAAGTTCAACAGGAGAATTTTAAAATCTATTCTGGTACGTACTGGGAGCCAGTGAAGGGAGGACAAAACTGGTGAAATGTGCTCAAACTTTCGAGTTCCTCTTAAGAACCGAGCTGCAGCTTTTTGGACAAGCTGGAGACGTGAAAGAGAGACCTGACTGACCCCAGCATAGAGCACGTTACAGTAGTCCAGTCAGGTTGTAATGAATGCATGGACTAGTTTTTAAAGGTCAGATCTGGTCAACACTGACTTAAGCTTCACTATCTGCCTTAACTGGAAGAAGCTTTTTTGTAGAACAGAGTTATTCTGTTTATTAAACTTAAAGTCAGAGTCCAAACCCATCTCGAGATTTGTAACAGACTCTTAAGATATGGCTCAAGAGTCCAGGTTTACAGGAACAGAGTAGAGCTAGGGCTAAACACAATAACTTCAGTTTTCTGATCGTTGAAACTTAAAATATTTGAAGCAATCCATGCTTTAATGTCATCAAGACATTTTAACAGAGGATGAATGGAGCAGGAACTGTTAGGTTTTATGGGCCGATAAATCTGACAATCATCAGCATAACAATGAAAAGAAAACCATGTTTCTACAGGACAGACCCTAAAGGGAGCAGATAGAATGAAAACAGAAGAAGTCCTAGAGGAAGTACTGTTGACATCATAGCAACATGTACTGTTAACTCACAGCACTGATGACCAGTCGGATGGGTACTGTGGCGTGGGTTCTGTTCAGCACTCTCAGAGGAAGAGATTTAGCACTGCCTCCTGGCAACTCTCCAAAATCCAAACAGCCAGATTTGTTCACTTCGATCTAAAAACCAAAACTAAATGTGAGTGCGTCCTAATTAAAGTGCATACATCGTCATTTACACGTGGGATACTAACATTAAAGAACAGCAGTCACTTTCACGTTAAGCCATCTTAATAAATATCCACGGGCTTTCATCAAGCTGTAGGCTCTCACCTCTAAGGCAGGATTCTCTGCAACAGCAATAAGCACCACTCTTTTGGCAAAGAGATTTGCTCTGGCAGCCAACTCGGGTTCAGCAGAAGCTGGCCAGGAGCAAACATTGAGAACACACTGATAGACGCCAGGCTGTGGCGGGACGAACAACACTTTCTGCTCCTCTGTACTCTTGGGACCAATAATGGTTTTGTTTTTCACCATCAAGCACTGGTAAGGCAAGCTGTCCATCTGCAGGGGGAAAGTACAGGTGAAATTACTTTCTAAATAATGGTAACTATTAAAGCTGTGGTTCCATCCATCCATTAACTTCTGGTCACGGGGGCAGCAGCTTGAGCAGGGAGGTCCAGACATATTTTTGTTTTCCTTGAAATTGCTGCCAATTTAAACAAATCTTGCAAATCTTTGCTGAGCAACAAACCACAATGTTGTCCTGCTGGTGACACCTGAAGGTGAAGTTTAAGGATTTGTTGCAGGAAATTAATGAGGGGACTGAACAGGATCGGGGTTTATTACAGCAGGTTCAGGTTCAGACTTTAACTGTAGTCATTTAGAGTAAAACCTTTCATTTAAAAATTATTTATTGTGATAGACTCTTATGATACATGGTCAATACAAGAGAGCCCAGCCCTAATTACTGTGCTACAAATCACGTTCTCTGGCACATGAGCCCCAGCTAACCTTCTCTCCGTCAATGGCCAGGCCGGTGACGGTGATGGAAACTTGCTGCCATCTCTCAGACGGGTTGAAGAGGCTGAGGGAGGTCTGCGAGGCAATGCCCACACAGCAGGCATGAGGGAAGCGGAGCTCCTCAGGCACCACTACCTGACCTGAAGAATGAGAGAATAATAAAAGTTGAAGTTGCTGCAGGAGTACTTGTATTTAATCTGTACAAACATTTGCAGAACTCAAAATTACCTGCCCACCGATGATTAGTCAAGGTAAATAAATGTTCACTTGTAAAAAATAATAATCTGAATGTGTTTAACATTTTGCTTTTCGTTTGACTTTACAAAAAAAGAATACAGAAAACCTAAACTGCTGGTTTATAAACCTCGCATACAGGCATTCAGTTCATCGAGGCCGCTCGTCAGCAGAGGTTCTCCTCCATAATGACTGTATGCTTTCCCCATCATTCCCATTTCATGTTGACTCTGATGTGGTATGTGGAGGTGAGGAGGCCCAGCAGCGTCAGAACCGCCCAAGGGCCCTGCTGTCGGGTGAATGTGTCTCACATCGAGACCACTGTTCGGGAGCCCTACAAAGAGCACAGGGTTGGTAACAGAGCTTGCTTGGGTTCTTATAAAGTGCACCAGTTAAAAAAAATCTAAATACAGCCCATGTGCATGTTTTAGGGAATACCTAGAACAAAAGTAGATCTTTACATGGTTTACCGTTTTGACAATACATCAATTTATTTTTAAATAAAGAAAACTAAAACTTGCCTGTAGAAGACGCGCTGTAAAGAGTGTTCCCTGCAGGGCCCACATGAAATGGGTGCAATGCAGCTTCAGGTCCTAAATACTGAAGAGGTAACTGGGAGCGTCTAGTAAGGAGAGACTGAATATCTCCTTTGTGAGGAAGATCCATCATGCCCGGACACGGAGGCCTAAAGCTGGGGATGGGGGCATAATGAAGTCCCTGGGCTGAGTAGGGAGGAGGCAGGCTGAGGCCCCACTGCTGGGAGCCCTGAGGAGCGGCACAGTTCGTTTGTTGGATGTACAGGTTGCTGCTGTACCCCGAGTCCACTTTATGGAACTTCCTTATGTCAGACTCGGAGACATGCTTGTGGTTCCTGCAGCCTGCAGAAACGTCACCGGGACATCTGTGGTTACATTCACTCTGGCTGCGAGTGCAGCTCAGAGCAGACCCGCTGCGGGAGGGTTCTGGGCTTCTACGCTGCTCTGCTGGTAGGGGGTCCAGACTTCTAGAATGCTGAGGCGGCACATTATCAAGGCTTTTGGGCGCACCATTACTGTCCAGGTTTGGCTGTGCTTCTGCTTCTACAGGAGGAGTTGGACTGAATCTGATGATGGTAGTGCTCAAGGCCATAGTGGAGTCGTTCTGTAGACAAAACAACAGAACCATCAGTACTTGTGTTTTCATCATTAAAAGCTTTTTAAGAAAGATCCAAATGACAAATTCAAATTTAGACAAAAATAACTCAATTTATTGTCTTTTTAAACTTGTTTCTTTTTATTTAAAATGTAATAACTTTAAAATATTTGTATATAAAACTGTAGCATCACGAGAAGGATTATTTAGAAACAAACCAACAAAGCTTTTAACCCTAATGTCCTACAGGTCTGTCTACAGTCATTTCACCAAAGGTCAAACAGAAGAGTCCGTCCTGCAGTACCTGCTTCCGTTCAGGGGTAGGCACAACTGTGCCCTCATTCACTGAAATGTAAGTGAGCCTGCTAAGACTGGGGCTGGAACAGGCAGACTCAGGAGAACGATCTGGACCTGGACGTCTGTCAGCAAGACCTCTGCTGGATGAAGAAGGTGACTGCATGCTGCAGAGAGAAAGAAAGAAAAAGTGCAAATGACACGATCCATCTGTTGTAAACCGGCAGCAGCAAGTTACACCGTGATTAAGAGACACTGTGCTACCTGTCAGCACTAGGAATGGAAGTCTGACTTGGAGAGGAGTGAGTAAGAGGAGATGTAGATGGTCTAAAGCTGCAAGTGGTCTCTTCCACACATGGCTCTGGAACACTATTCATCAATCCTAAGGAACAAACGGTAAAAGTTACAAAAGATTCAATGTCACCAACTCCACTAATGTTCAAGTCATTATTACTGGCTGTTACGCACTAGAAGGGGGACTTTGTGGAGGTTGATGATTTTGGCAAGTGGAGCCAGCTGGTTTCTCAACAGATTTGAGAGAAAACGGAACATTTATATTCCCTGATGCTTTCTCCTGTGGAAAGTCCCCAGGTCTGTCTTGGAGCTCCTGACCTACGCTCCTCAGCCTCTGGCTTGAAGGAGAAGCAGCTTTGAGGCCAAGAGGACCTGACTGCTGTTGACTCCCATGTGGGGAGGTCCTGGATAAGCTTTCATGGTTGTGATCAGAAGAACTAATATTTGTTGTTGTGAGGTCCATGTCTCCCAGCTTGACATCACTTTGTAAAATGGTTTTACCTGAAAACCTACTAGTTCTGGTTAAAGCAGCAGCGTTGTCACAAGCCGTCCGTTTGTCTGGAGAAGCTCTGACAGGGGAAGACTGTCCCAAATCCACAGGCTTTTTAGAAGACCTGAGAGATGGTTGAGGACGAGGAATGGAGCTTTTCTTAGAGCTGCTGCTCTTTGCTGCCAACCGTTCATCAGAAAGTGGAACTGCAGAAGAGCTTGCAAGTGACACGTCCCCTTTCTTGTCTTTCTCCTCAGCCTTTGACCTTGAAGAAACCTCTTGATGCTCACGGTCCTGTTTGGCTGAATGTTCTGCCTGACAGTTCCTCTGTGAGCGGCTCAGGCTGTCAGCCCAACCACTCCAGTCAAAAGTCACGTGTCCGTCAGAGGACTCACTGGAACCAGACCGCTTGTTCTTCTTCAGGTATTTCTCCATGTTAAAGGCACCAACGTCTCCAGCACAGATGCTTCTCTGAAGAGTCTCTGTGAGTGCACTCTGATGCAGCTGAGGCAGGATCTGCCAAAGAAGCACAACAGTGGATTTAATCATCATCTTTAATCATTTTCAGCTAAAATTTTATAAAGATAAAATTTCATTAGCTTTTACCAGCTGGTCTCGTTAAAGCCACAACAGTCGACAAATGTAGCCATTTTTCTAGTGTTTGTGAGTTGTATTTGTATGCTTCATCTCCACATCACTAAATGATTGTTTGGAGGTTAATGTAACTCAAACCTATCAGGGTTTTCAAAGAAAAACAGCAAATATTCCCCAAACTGAGTTTACAGCTCAATTTGATCCGTTATAAAATGATGCTGTTGGAAAGTAGAATGTCTGCACAGCTCAATGCACATCGCAGCACAAACGCTTGCTTTTAATGATGATCTCCTTTTAAATGACTCCAAACCATCCTACTTCTGTCAACTCTTGTCCTCGCAGCTTTGAGTCCTCGCTTCATTTAAAGAGAGAAGAACTTTAGCTTTTTGCTTTCAACCTGGTGTCTCCACTTCACTTGTTGTCACTCTGTTACATCCAGCGATGATCTTAAGTTAATATCTGTCGCCCTCAGGTCCATCTGAAGTGCACTCGACAAGCTTTGGATCGACTCCTAATTGTTGGCAACAAAACAAGTTTTTCCTGACTTCTTGCATTTAATACAAAGATGTGTAAATCTTAGGCTTTTGGTAGTGAATGTTGTGCATTTAGTGGTTATATTTAAATCATAGTTGATGCACATATACCAAAAAAATCAAATCCATCCGTCTTCTTTAAATCAAAACAGAATTGTTTCTTATTTTGACAGCTATTATGGCTTTAACCTAAAAACTAAGTCAAATTCAAGTATCCTGATGCATGCTCAATAATCCAGGTAGAAAAATAAAATTAAGTCAGGTCCTCTGGACAGGTTCAAAAAACAAAAAGTCTTTCATCCAAAGGACTTCTTCAGTCTAAAGAAAGAAGTCTTTCGGATGAAAGACAAAACGTTTATTTTTTATTTTTTAACCCGTCCAGAGGACCTGACAGCTTTTTTTTTTTTTTTAGCTCAAATTCAAGTAGTTTTTTTTAGCATTGTCGCTGGATTTTTAAGACTTTGCAGCACCAAAACGGTAATTAAAAAATACATGCATTATATTTTTAGATTGAATATTTTGTGCTATCTGCTCAAAATGATTTTTTTTTTACTTTCTTGCTCCATAAATGAGCATTATAATCCTTCAACAAAAACATAAAAGCTTGTAACTCCACTCAGGCTTACATGTGCAGCTGCAGAGACTTCCTTTGTGCTGCATCCAGTAGACTCTGGATAGTTCCTTGTCCTACTCTTCTTGGACAGATCCACAATCATGGCAGCCAGCTGCGATGGGTCAGTGCTGACGGATGCATTTGCAATGGCTGAAGCAATTGTGCTAATACTTAGCATCAGCTGGCTGCTGTTGCTCTCGGGGGACAAACCATTTGGGGTACCCAGACTCGACTCAGATGTTGAGGCCTGACTGTGTTCAGACAGAGCAGCTCTGACAGTATGCTCCTAAACACAAGTGCAGTCAGAATACATAACATTTTACATTGAATGCATGAATAATGATGTTCTAATATTGACAAAAGATCCATTTACCTGGGATTCAGACAGTTCTGGAGCAGTAACCCCTTTTGGTGGCATCCTTTCACCTGGTGCATTAACAGTTTTGTCCAAGTCCTCTGGAGGGAGACGATCATGAGCAGAAAAGCAGAAAGTGAGTCGTTACATATTTAGAACAGATTTGATTTGATTTATCCTGAGCCATTCTGCAAACACACCTGGGCTGAGTGTTTTGTCCACTGTGGGATTGTTTGGAGAACTTTCTCCAGGGGAGAACTCCGAGAGGTTAATGAGGGGGAATGGTTCCCTCTTCTCTGGAGAGGCAATGTCGTACCCGAAGGATGGCTGGAGAAGAACAGCATGAGTTCAATGGTTCATTGCACGTTAGACTTTCTCTTCTGAAAAAGTTTAGAAGCTAAAACTAAACAAATGTAAATTCATGTAAACAATTTATTTATATATTTCTATCTGAAGAATTTCTGCTAGTACACATGTGCAGAGAAACTGCCTTGTGATTGGCATAGGACAGGTTTTTTTTTTTTGGCGTATTTAGCCGTGACCAGCTAAATGGTCAAACAGTTTAAAAAAATGATTTTATTAAAATAAAAATAAAAAAGGTCAGTAAAGGCATCCTATATTGAGTTGGAAGCAGTTGATTTCTGTGGAGAAATTCTCACATAGACAAAGACGTTAACATAGCTGTATGAACAATCTGTAAGATGCAACAAAGTGAAGTCAGGTCCTCTGGACGGACTCTTCTTAGTGGAAACATTTTTCTTTTATTCAAAAGACTTCTTCAGTCTATAAGATGTGTAGAGGACTCGGCCTCCGACCAAAACCTGCCTCTGAAGACCTTCATGGGACAGGAACTGTTATTTCATTGATTTGAATCCAGAAATACAAATTAGCTCATCCAGAGACT